GGGAATGGTTTGGGCACACCGCCACCTTGAGTATCATCCCGGGCCTTAATAGGTGCTCGCTAACAACGGTTGTCCAAACAGTCTGGCATGCTACAGTGAGCTCCATTGTGCGCGTGTGTTTATGTAGGCTTTATTTTTTTTAATCAGTTGTTGAGCACATGTCTAAAGGGCCCCTATGATGCTATACAAATGTGTCAGTGTGTTTTTAATAGGTGCTCGCGAACGGCACTTGCGCCTGTGGCATCCGAGTCTCTACAGGAGATTGTTAACCTTTTTCGGGGGGGGTGTGTGTGGAGCGGTGGTGCAGCGGTTAGCGCCCTGCGCTCCGAGCCCCGGCGATCCGAGTTCGATTCCTCGCTCACCACGGCGAACATCGGCGAGGAGTATCTGAACCGGTCCTGGGTCTCCCCTAGGTCGACTCGGCCTCAAATGAGTACTTGGCGCGGTGTGCGAACATCGCCACAAAGGCGGCCGGGCGTTGTGCCGTGCCGACCTTTAAAGGTGCTACTTCGCTAACAGCACTTGCCCGTTAAAACAGTCTGCTAAAGGCTATACGGGCGGTCTTTGTCTTTGTATGCGTATTGTAAATAAACACGAGTGCCCTCAGGGCAATCTACCCCCACCAACCCATCTGCCCGCGGTGGGGGGGGGGGGGCGCCCTTTTGCCGTCTTCCTGCTCCACTGAGTGGGGAGGGAGGACAGACGCTTCATTGAACATTTGACGAAATCTGTTCCGCGGTCAGCCCCGTAGCGCCGACGGGGGAGGTCGTGGCGACTGGGCAATGTCACCCATCCCTGTCGCGTGAGTCAAGCGTCGGGATCTTTATTAAGGCCGGAGGAATCCGATGAGCCGCCAAGCTCTTTTGCTTAGTGCGATCGGCAGTGCCGGGCATCGCAGGCCGACCCCCGTGTGATGTTGATACCAAAATCAACGTCGGCCGGGCGGTGGTGCTGGTGCTGGTGGTGGCGGCTAAGCTACTGCACTTGGCTGCCTGTAGTCCAGCATAGTGGAGGCAGCAGCAGCAGCAGCAGCAGCGAGGGTTGATGGATCATCGGACAGATGGGCTGTGAAACTCTTCTCCCGTGGGCATCGAAAAAGAGTCTTACTCCTGGCTCTGCTAGGAGAGGGCGGTACAGCAAAGTGAACTAATCCCCATCTGTTTGCACCTGTACGGGGATAGTGTTGTCCCCTTGCACAAGGTGTAGGACTTTCTTTTTAAATCCTTTATATTAAGTTCACTTGCGGCACTTGCTTGCGCGCTTACGACCGTGCAAATCTTTCGGTCGTTTTTAAATCCTTTATATTAAGTTCACTTGCTTGCTTGCGCGCGTACGACCGTGCAAATATTTCGGTCGTTTTTTAACCCACTTCCCGTGATCCAGTCGAGCTGACATTTTGCACACAGACTCGTTGTGCGTGACAATTTATTTTCGTGAAAAAATCTTTCAAAAATGTTCCACTTTTTAGGAAAAAAAAAATTTCATATTTAATTTAAAATACCAATGTGATAAAAATGAAACTCTTACTCAAGAAAAACAGAAATGAATAATAAAATAAAACCGATGCCACGCATATAAAGGATTTATAGTGAAAAACTTTGTTTTTACGGGTAAATTTTTTCCTGTTAAGGCCACGGTGTTATTGGCTAATTGTGCTTGTGCACCATTGTATGGATGTATGTAGAACTTTTTTCTCACCATACGTAGCCAACTGCGCTATTTGGTAGTAGTAGCAGCAGCATCACCAAATGATGCGTTTAAATACGAAGCATGTTGGTCCTTTGGGGCAGTGGCGCTGCCCCGAGGTGGAGCATTCACCGCTTTGCATTTTGCAGAGGTTAGTGGTTCGAATCCGCCAGGCCGCACTGGTTATACCATCGCGGGTGTGTTAGGAGATGAATAGCAAAGTACTGCGCGCGACGTCTGCTTCACAGTGGGTGTTAAAAGATCCCTGTGGCGTCATTCGGTAGGTGTCAGGCCATCGTGGTCCAACTTTGCCAAAAAATAAATTTGACTCCGTAAATTGCTCAGCCGGGATCACACGTAGCAAGCATCTCTCCTCACCATCCCCCCACCCTACTGCATAAAACTTGGCAATACTTTTCTGAAAAAGAGTCATGAGACTCGGCGAGGCTTTCCCTGGGTACAAAGACAAACTGTTTTTTATTTTTTTAGGGAAGGCCCACTGAGCTATGTAGCTCTTTTTCAGAAGCAACCTGGCCACAAATGATAGCTCAACGAAGTGGCTTATCGTGTGGAAATTTATAGCAGCCAATTACTGTAAATGCATGTTTCGAGATGTGGAGGGAAAAACCGGAGGACCCAGAGAAAATCCACGATCACGGGGAGAACACGCAAACTCCAGACATACGGGCGTCAGGCTCGGGATCGAACCCACAACTGTCTGTGTACTCGGCGAGCTAGTTAACATCTTGCCACCGTGGGTGAATAGCAGTGACAAAAACAATACAAACCGCAAAAGCCTACGTACTGATATTCCAGAATATTGATTCCTTGGGGGTGAAGCAAGTATTTATTCCTTGGTGCACGTAGTTCCGGGGGGGATCACATTTTCTCTGACACGGGCTCCCAATGCTCATCTAGACAAGACACTTGAATGTACATCTCGTCCGCTCAGTCCGCAGCAAGACTTCTACGCTGCTGCACACATCGAGGGACACACAATGGCTGGGTTCGGCCTTGCTTCCTGTGCGCGTGTGCTTCCCCGTTGCTTCTGGCTGCCGCGCTTCTGACCTCCCCGCCGCACATCCAGGAAGCGGCCGTCCAGATGCGTTTAATTTTCGCGGCTTGTACTGAGGCTGCCACTACCACCACCACCACCACCGCCGCTTCCCCCCCCACCCCCCAAACCCTCCGCCACTCCGCAGTGTCGAGCTTTGACACAGAAAACCCGAGGATCGTTACACGGCGATGTTACTAAGGAACTCTCCCCACGTGAACTGTGACCTCTGGCCCGGTATGCCGGTTCTCGCTAGGACTGTAATAATAGTGGTCTGTACCTTATGCCCAGGGATGCTGCCGCAGTGCTGTAATGGAACAAAAACAAGCCTGTGTTTAGAGTATTTGTCTGCCATGGATTTCCACGTGATAAGCCACTCCATTAGACTCTCATTTTGTGGCCAGGTCGCTTCTGACAAAGAGCCTACATAGCTCAGTTGGGCCTTACCTGGTAAAATTGTTTTAAATAAACTGTTTAATTTAATAGCGAGCTCAATGAACTTGAAAATTCAGAGGGTATCAGTTCGATTCCATCTCCTGGCCCGGCATTTAGAACAATGGTAACATTTTCTTACACCCCCCTCTCCTGCCTACCCTCTCCCCCCACCTTCCATCGACCATGTATGCCTACCGAGCAGTTTTAAGACGGTTCAACCACGGTCAGTCCATCGGCAAGTCGCGTGTGGTGGGCCAAACGCTGGGGTATTCCCACCTCTTCCAAGACGGCTGGCAAGCGGGGAGGAGTAGGCCAAAGAAACACGCCCGTTACAGCTCCCCTCCAGTGGAGGCCCCTCTGCCGGGAGTGCCACGAGCGAGCGCATCTGCCCGCGCAAAAAATCGAGACCGCCGCGACCGTGGTGTGTCTAGCCCCGGGGGGTCGGCAAACCAAAACAACAAGGAGAGCCATTTTTTTCGACCTCGGTGTTTGAAGGGCCGCGATGCACGTGGTGAATACGGGAGCGACGGCTCTTGATAAATAACGTCCCGAAGCGGTCCTTCAAGAGCCACCGCGTGCGGGCCTCCGGAATCCGCAAGGTTGCCGACCCCCTGGGTTCAGCCGGTGCTTTGTACGCACGACCTCGAGTCGCTCGCTCGTCGTAACTCGGACGCCGCTCACGGAAGCCGCGTTGCTCTTTCGATTTCGCTTTATTGTGACCGTGCCGCAAGTACGTTTGGTAATCGCGGCGAGCCTTACAGCGCGAAGAAAGCCGCTGTGTGTGTGTGTCACAGACGAGTGGAGGCTCTCTGATAGTTCCACAGTAGAGAGGGGGGGGGGGGGACGACGATAATGTCACTCTGTGTGTCCCAGGTAAATAATATGAAGGCCATTTTTCAAATTAGGCCACGCGTTTGGGACCGCGACACCGCACCGGCACGTAGTGGTCTCCTTCGTCGTTTTTTAAAACCTCACGGGATCTTTAGGAATCTTTAACGGCTGCTGTGAAGTGGACGACTCCGTGTCTTCGTGGTTAATACACCGCAGTATTAACCGGAGTGGTTTATGCGTGGTTAATACACTCGCGGTATTAACCAGGGTGATTTACTCGTGGTGCGGTTGTAAATAAACACCGCTCAGACTTATTTATCCTTTGTCCCCCTCCACTTATTGGACATCGCAGTGGATGCAGAGCCCATCGCTTTGAGTGCATTACGACTCCATATTAATCGGGGGAATCTATTATTCAATGGCGGTGGATGTAATATTTATCAACCTTCGGGAGGACAAAAATCAAAGGGACAAGGTGCTCAACCCCTCCCACTCCTCGTCGATGAAGTTTGCGTGTCCCGGTCACGCGAGTCACCCCTAACGTTTGCAACTAAGCAGAGTATTCGGCGATGCTGCATTGGCAGTGGTGCACAAGCGCAATTTATGTTGCTATGAAGAAGGGCCATTGCCCTAAACGTCACCTGCCATGTATTTATTGTTTCCTTTTTGATAAGGCCAACGACAACGACCGCCATTCGCTGACTAAGTGGCGGTGACGTCACCGCGGCGCTTGTGCCAGGCTGCGTGCCCTTCGAGGCTATCGCGTAGGTCACGGGACATAACCCTGCAGGTGCCGTGGGCTGCGCAAAGCCGAGGGTGTCACCATCCCCTCGCACCGCCTTCCTGCCGACGTGAGCGCCACCGCTTGGGCGATCGCCGAGCAAACGCTTACGCGGGCGAGCGGCAAGCGGGCGTCGGAGAGCGTTGTGGAGTCCCGTGCGCGTGCATGATTTTTCTTCCCCCTTGCCTCGGCGCGTGCGTGACACGTGTGCAGGACCAGTTTGAGGGCGTGGAGCGGCACACGCTGTGGGGCGTGGAGTTCCTCGAACGCTTCTCCAAGTTCGTGAAGGAGCGTGCCGAGATCGAGATCGGATACGCCAAGCAACTGCGGTACGGTCCCCGCCCCCCCCGCCAGCTCTCACCGAGCACCACGCACAGCGCGGTGGAGCGCTCTCTCTCCCACGCCAGCAGCACCCAGGCGCCATCACCATCATCCACCTTCAGGCAGCAGCTCAAGGCTTCTTGCCTGTTCAGGATCTCACCTGTCCAGGCTTCTCAGCTGTCCAGGAGCTTGCCTGTTCTGGATGACATGAGCTTTGGCTCCTGCCTCCGAGTTCTTGATCGAACAATGCGTCCGATTCGTTAAATACGTGCGCGTCCTAAATAGCATTTATTATGATTCATTATATTTATTAATGTTATAAAGGGTGGCATCGATGGCGCCCTGTTGTTTCCCTGCACGGTCCCCACAGAAGTGCCGGGCGCTGGGTTTATCGACGCTCCAAGTCGAACGAACTCTCCGCACCACTCCCACATCTCGACGAAAATGGCCAAAACACATTGCCTTGGCGACTTGCCTCCCTCCCCCTGCCCCGCCACCCCCCGCTGTTGGTAATGGAAACATCTGCACATCGCCCCCCCCCCCCTCCACCATCCGCCGCCGCCCCCGATAAAAAAATTGGACAAAAAATGAACGTTGGTGAAGATGAGAATCCGGCCCTCTGTGTCTCTCTTCGCACAAAAAAGCGCTCATTCACAACGGCGGCTGGCTGGCTGGCTGGCCGGCTCGGAGGTCACAGCGGCTGAGCTGGCACCCGCTGACATCCTGTGTTCCGGTCCACGTTTTAGCCCAACTGCTGCGTATGTTTCTTGCTGCCGCTACGTCGCGCACCCCCCCCCCACCCGCCCGCCCCACCGCTGTCGTGCGACGAGTCAGTGGCAGGGCGGATTGGGGAAAGTTGCTCCCCCCCCCCCCCCCGACTGAGTTGGAAATGAGGTCACTGGTGGGGACACCAGAGGCAGCTCCCAGGTGGCTTTCCTTGACTGCGAAATTCAAGTTCCTCATTCATTGTTTGACTCCATACAATGTACCCCCCCCCCCCCCCCCCCCCGTGTGTTTACAGTCACTCCGTAGTGTTTACGGCACAGCAGCTGCTTTTCAGTGTCTTGCTGTTCAGTTCTCGCAGTCGGCCGACGCGGTTATCGTAACGTGCGTCATCTGTGCCACGGTGGCTAGGAGATGTTAACTGCCTCGCCTGGTATACAGGAGGTCGTGGGTTCGATCCCGATCCTGACGCCTGCTGTGTATTTGGAGTTTGCGTGTCTCTCGCTTATCACCATCACGGTGGCTAGGAGATGTTAACTGCCTCGCCTGGTATCAGAGGTGTGGACTCGAGTCATGTGACTTGGACTCGAGTCAGACTCGAGTCATGAATTTGATGACTTCAGACTCGACTTGGACTTGCATAACAATGACTTTGTCCCACCTCTGAGGTGTGGACTCGAGTCATGTGACTTGGACTCGAGTCAGACTCGAGTCATGAATTTGATGACTTCAGACTCGACTTGGACTTGCATAACAATGACTTTGTCCCACCTCTGCCTGGTATACAGGAGGTTGTTCGTTCGACCCGACCTTGATGCCTGCTGTATATTTGTAGTTTGCGTGTCTCTCTCATCATCATTATCACGGTGGCTAGGAGATGTTAACTGCCTCGTCTGGTTTACAGGAGGTCGTGGGTTCGATCCTGATCCTGATGCCTGCTGTATATTTGGAGTTTGCGTGTCTCTCTCCCCATGGTCGCGTGAATGTTTTCTCCGGATCCTCCGGTTTTCCCGTCACATTTAGAATCAACGTCACGCGTTTAGAGTATTTGGCTGCTACATATTTCCACGTGATAAGCCCCTTCGTTGAGCTGTAATTTGTGGCCATATTGCTTCTTAAAAAGAGCTAAATATAGCTCAGTGGGCCTTACCTGGTAAAATAAAATAAACATTTGTTTAGTTTATAGTTTAATGGTTTAGTTTAAGTAAAAATAATATTAGCCGTTTCATTTTTAAAGGGACGCCGATTTACCATTAACGGTCACGTTGATCGGCGCCGCGATCACGCCGCGCGTGCGCGCGTCACGAGCGATCGAAAGCGCCGCTCGCTCAAACGCAGCTGTAACAGCAACAATAATATCGCTAAAGGTCACTGCGACTGCGCACTAATGAGCAATGTGAAATATTCTCAGCGGCAGCCGACGCGGGGGGAAGGTCACCGCGCGCTGGTGGTGCCTTCACGGGGAAAAACGAATTCGCCACCCGTCGCGTCCTACGACGTTCGTGTTGCGGTTTCCGCGAATCGGTCTTCGGTCGCGCCGTCGACATCGTCCCTGAGCGTGCGATGAAACGTTGGCAGCTGACAGCGCACCACCCCGTGTATGCGGGCAACAGCCCCCCGGGATATTGTCGCAGAGAAAACCCGGTTTATTCGCAGGCAGTGGCTGATACCTGGACTTGAACTCAGTTGACTCGGCGGTGTTGGCTCAAAGTATGTAGATGCCTGAGCCACCAACCCTTCCTCCTGTGCTTCCTAAATATTATTAATCGTTAAGGGTATTTATATATTTTATTTTTGCCTCTGACAGATGAGACTGTCTGCGTGTTATACGAGCCAGACTCTACTGGGGGGGTCTCCTTTTCTAGGGGGGGGGGGGGTGGTTTGCCTCCAGAGCTAAATTTGATTTAGTGGAAGAAAAAAAACGTAACTTTTTTTTAAAGCATTTTTCCCCCGCAACTTTATCGCGACCGCGCTACCTTTGACGAAGAATCCGTTCGCAAATCTCGCAGGGGCGGTGCGAGCCCCTCCCGTGTTGTCAGAGAATGGCCCGTGGAAGCAGACATCACAGAGCTACCTCTGAGATCCTTTCTGCGACTGACCTTTTTAATTCTCGAGAGGTGAAATGTTGATCATATTAATTGCAGAACTCGATTTTTTATGATGGGTTTTTTTTCTGTGTGTGCATTTGTGGAGACCATCAATTGGCCGAAACCATAAACCCACGACGCTTAAGAACTCCGGTTTAAGTCGCAGGCAGTTGCTGAAAACCTGGATTCGAACCTCGGCCCTCAGTGGTGCCGGCTCAAGGCTCTCTGACCTTCGTGCCACCCAGCGACGCTGGAACGCCCCTAGTGGCTTTTGGAGTCACGTAAATCAAACTAATTTATTTTGCGAAGATAATGTGTAAGGTACATGATTAATTGCATGTTGTTGTCTTTCCCCCGCACCTGCGGTTGGCTACGTACGATGTGAAAGAAGTTCGGCATACGTACTACAGTATAACCCTCCACTCCACCTGCCAGAGCCAGTCAAATCAAGTTGTCACGTGGGCGAATGTGCCAATTGAATTGTTTTTTTATCTAAACCTGTGGAGGAGAAACATTGAAAAGCCCCAGCGAAAGAAAAAACATTTTGACAATCTTATCCTTTACGTTTTTACACCCAGCATCGTCAGGCATTAACGTTGGGGCGCAACGGTGGCTAGGAGATGTTAATTACCTCGCCCAGTATACAGGAGGTTTGCGCATCTCTCTCCCCATGGTCATGTGGATTTCTCTCCGGGTCCTCCGTTTTTTCCCTTCACATTTCTAAACGTTCGTTTATAGCATTTGGCTGCAATACATTTCCACACGACAAGCCACTTCATTGAGCTATCATTTGTGGCTAGGTCACTTCTGAAAAAGAGCTACATAGCTCAGTAGTGCCTTACCTGATAAGTTCAGTTTTAAATAGTTTAATGCATCGTCAGCCGCCCGATCTGGCTCATTAACGAGGTGCCCGTGACCGCCGTCACGAGTGGATTGTTGTGGCTCGCGTGATTCGGTGCACGTAGCGCGACGCTCAAGGTTTCGATGTTGATTGAGGAATCGATGGGACTGTTACACCTCTGCCAGGTGGGGTGCCTACGAGACGAGAGGCGGTTTTTGCGTTCGTGCCGTCCGGTCTTCCTCCTGCGACCCACTGACGGGATGTGTCCGCTTTGTTTCCTTTCAGGAGCCTGGTGAAGAAATATCAGCCGAAACGCAACTCGAAGGACGAGGATGAGTACAGGTGAAGGAGGAGGGCGTGAGTGAGTGAGTGAGTGAGCGAGCGAGTGAGTGGGCGAGCGAGTGAGTGTGTGAGCAAGGTAGCAAGCGAGTGAGTGGATGAGTGAACGGGCGAGCGAATGAGTGGGCAAGCGAGTTCATGGGCAAGTGGGTGAGTGGGCGAGCAGGTGAGTGAGTGAGCGAGTGAGCTGGCGGGCGGGCGAGCGAGCGAGGGAATGGGTGAGCGAGTGAGTGTGCGTGTCAGTGTGCAAGCGAGAAAGTGAGCAGGCGAGTGGATGAGTGAGTGAGTGAGTTGGCGTGCGAGTGGGCAAGTGAGGGCGGTGATGGAACAGGACACAGGGCAAGAGGGTCATGGTATGGCGTGAAGTAGATCAGAGATGCAGCCCGCCACGCTGGATTTGCAATCCAGAGGATGCCGGCTCGATTCCATCTCCCGGAGCAAAAGTTTCTAAAATACCTCCCCCCCACCCCCGCCGCCTCTGTAATTGTGTACTCCACAGATGGCTGATCCGGTGGTCGGGTAATGTGTGGGTACTCCTCTTCCACGACGTCCGGCATAGCGTGGAAGAGTAGGCAAAAACATTACCATCCAGAAGTGCTATGTAGATATCCCTCCAGGGGCTCTCTCTAAAGCTCCCTCTAGCGGAGGCCCTTCCGCCAGCGGAGGCGAGAGCGAGCAATTGCAGGGCTGCGCCTTTGCCTACATGGATCACCCTGTATAAGCGCATCCCTTCAACGTTAGACCCGCTTCCTGTTCGCGCCTGCCCTGTAACTCTGCCATATCTCCTCCTCCTTCCTTCCTCCTGCGCTTGTCTTTCCGTCTGCTCCCCCCGCCCCCACTCCTTCTCCCTGCCATCCCCTCTCCCGCACCTCCCCCCCACCGCCCGCCCACGCAGGTTCTCATCGTGCCGGGCGTTCCTGGCGGTGCTCAGCGAGCTGACGGACTACGCGGGTCAGCGCGAGGTGGTGGGGGAGTGCCTGTCGGGCGCCGTGGTGGTGGAGCTCTTGCGCTACACGCAGGAGCTCAAGACCCAGCGCAAAGCCGTACGTCGCCGTGGGGGCCGCGTGCGCGTCCGTCCGTCTTGACTGTCCGCCCGTCTCGATCGGTCGCTAGCTGCTTGCGGAGCTTCACGGCGGTTTGAATTCGGCGGCCGCCCTGATTAATGCTGATTAAAACATTTTTTTATAATCTGAACATGATTTTTATTTAGTAGGTAAGGCCCACTGAGCTATGTAGCTATTTTTCAGAAGCTACCTGGTCACAAATGACAGCTCAACGAAGTGGCTTATCAATGTGGACATTTATAGCAGCCAAATACTCTTAAATGCGTGACGTTGATTCTAAATGCGGAGGCAAAAATTGGAGGACCCGCAGAAAAATCCACGTGACCACGGGGAGAGAGACACCGCAGACTCCAAATATACAGCAGGCGTCAGGTTTGGGATCGAACCCACGACCTCCTGTATACCGGTCGTGTTCTTTCATCATCGATGTCGCCGTCCGCTGTTTAGTTTGACGACCTCACCATTGGACGGTGGTATCAACGAGAAGAACTTTTTTTCTTACTACCAAGTTTCTCGTTGTCCTTCCCCAACACCTCCGATTAGCACGGTTGGTGACATACGGTGCGAAAGAAGTTCAACGTACATATAGTGGACGTTAAAGATCGTGCGACGTCGTTCGCCACTGCGGGCCTGTGTTGTGGTCTCATTTGGAAAAGATAATTCCGCCAATTAAAAAAAAAATTCCCCGCAAAAAATTACTCGATTGGGATGACACACAACAATCACTGCTACGCTTGCTTACCCTGAAAAGCCTCACTGAGTCTCAAGACTCTTTTGCAGGAGGGTCCTGCCAAGTTTTTCGCAGCAGGGTTTGCTGCTGCTGCTGCTGCTGCTGTGTGTGATCCCCAATGGAGTAATTTTCAGGTACACTTAGCATTGGGATGTTTCGGTCCAGCACCGGTTGACATTGCATTGGGGTTTTGTTTTTGCTGTGGCAAGAAACTGGAGAACCCAGCAGAAATCCATGCTAAACAGGGGGGGGGGGGGAGAACATACAAACTCCAAACGAAGACAAAGATCGCCTGTACAGCCTGAACAGACTGTAGGGGCAAGTGCTGTTAGCGAGCACCAATAAAAGCCGGCACGGCACACGAGGGGGTGGGTGGCCAGCACCACGCTCGGCCGCCTTTGTCTCCCTAGTGGCGATGTTTACACACCACACAGGGTACTCATTTGAGGCTTGGTCAACCTAGGGGCGGTACAGGACCGGTTCAGATAATCGTCACAAGTGTTGTCTGTGAGCGGGGATCGGACTCGGGCCGCCGGGTTCGTAGCGCAGCGCGCTAACCGCTACACTACCGCTCTCGCTCGATCACACTCTGCAGAACAGGGGAATCGAACCCAGGCCCCTTGTTGCCACGTGGCACGAGGGACGCTGCGGTGCCACCCCGCTGGAGAGTGCTCCAGGATCCGTCCGGTCTCTCACCATCGTGTCTCTCTCTGCAGCTGGTTCACGATGGACGAAAGGCTCAGCACCACGTGGAGAGCTGCCTCAAGCAAATGGAGACGGTAACCGACGCACTCACACCACCACCACCACCCCCACTCACACCATCACCACCACCCACACCACCACCACCACCCACACCATCGCCACCACCCCCACCCCACACCACCACCCACACCATCGCCACCACCCACACCATCACCACCACCCCCACTCACACCACCACCACCTACACCATCACCACCACCACCCACTCACACCACCCTCCCACTCACACCATCGCCACCACCCACCCACTCACACCACCACCATCACCACCCACTCACACTGCCACCACCCCCTACCCACACCACCACCCACTCACACCACCACCACTACCCACACTACCAACCACCGCAACCCCCACTCATACCACCACCCACACCATCACCCCCATTCACACCACCACCACCTACTCACACCATCACCCACTCACCCCACCACCACCCACTCACACCACCACCACCCACTCACACCACCACCAACCCACTCACACCACCACCAACCCACTCACACCACCACCACCACCCACTCACACCACCACCAATCCACTCACACCACCACCACCCCCCACCCACCCTCCTCTGACTGCCCCTCTGTTCAGTATGGCGTGCGTGTGTGTGTGTAGCGGTTAGCGCGATGGGCTATGAACCAGGCAACCCGGGTTCGATTCCCGCTCACGGCCAACACCAGTGACGATTATCTGAGATTATCTGAACCGGTCCTGGGCCTCTCCTAGGTCTACTCAGCCTCAAATGAGTACCTCGTGCAGTCTTTAAACATCACCACTGGGGAGACAAAGGCAGTCGGGCGTGGTGCTGGCCACCCACCCCCTTGTGTACCGTTCCGGCCTTCATAGGTGCTCGCTAAAAGCACTTTCCCCTACAGTCTGTTAAGGCTACACTGGGGATCTTTGTCTTTTTGCATTTATGTGAGGAGCGTTGGTGCAGCAGCGGTCAGCGCGCTGCACTGCAAACCTGGCGACCAGAGTTTAGTTCGCACTCGTAGCCAACACCAGAGAACTGGTCCTGGCCCTCCTCCAGGGCGACGTAGCCTTAAAAACGAGTACTTGCTACGGTGTGTAAACATCACCGCTGGGGAGAAAGAGCTATCCGGGCGGGGTGCCGGCCATCCCCCACCCCCCTTCGTGTGCCGTGCCGGGCCTTCGCAGGGTTGCTGCTTCTCGCAAGCAGCACTTGCCCCCGAACAATCCTGTCGATGCGAACACGGGGGACGTTTGACCCCGTCGTGAACCCCCCTCTTCTGCCCTCGCAGAGCAAGAAGAAGTTTGAGCGCGACTGCAAGGAGGCGGAGAGGTCGCTGCAGAACTTTGAGAAGCTGGACTGCGACATCAACGCCACCAAAGCCGACGTTGAGAAGGTGAGCGTCGCTTTCACTGAACTGGGTTTTTTCTTTTTAAATCCTTTATATTAAGTTCGCTTGCTTGCTTGCTTGCGCGCTTACGACCGTGCAAATCTTTCGGTCGTTTTTTAACCCACTTCCCGTGATCCAATCGAGCTGACATTTTGCACACAGACTCGTTGTGCGTGACAATTTATTTTCGTGAAAATATTTTTCCATTACTTTACACTTTTTAGGAAAAAATATATATATATTTAATTACCAATTGCTTAATAGTGGCAGGCAATCATCTGACCCATAGGTGGCAGCCATCTCAAGCCAGAGGACGAGAGGACTCTAGCCGCCACGCATATAAAGGATTTATAGTGAAAAACTTTGTTTTTACGGGTTAATTTTTTCTCACTGAGCTCTTTTTTGAGAAGCAATCTGGCCACGAATGAGAGCTCGACGAAGCGGCTTATCGTGTGGAAATTTACACCAGCCAAATAATCTAAAACGCGTGACGTTGATTCTAAATGTGGAGGGAAAAAACCGGAGAACCCAGAGAAAAATCCACGTGACCACGGGGAGAACATGCAAATTCCAAATATAGAGCACATTTCAGGGTCGGAATTGAACCCACGTCCTTCTGTATACCAGGCGAGGTAGTTAACATCTCACCAGCAAGGAAGCCCTTGACAGAATTCAACATCAGTCGCCTCCATATCACTCTTCTATCGCTACTACTACTACGACGACTGTGGTCACAACGTGAATCGCAGAGACAAGATACCCGTGCCACTCAACCAGCAGCCACCCAAACCTTACGCGCACCCCCCTCTCTCTCCTTCATCTCTTACTCCTCCGTGCACCCCACTCCTTTATCTGGAATCCCACACCCACTCTCCTCCACCTCCTACTATTCATGCACCAACAACCGCTTTCTTTCCCTTCTAACTCTCACCTCAAACCTCCCTCCCCTCTCGTCCCGATCTCTTACCCCTCCCTCCCAATGTCCCTCTAATTTCCTCATCCCACGCGCCCTCTCCTCTTCCTCTCTTCCTCTGCCCCTCCACCTCCTCTTCGTGTCTCTCCCGTCTCTCACCCCCTCACATCCCCGTCTTCATCTCTCACCCTCCCACTCCATCCTCCGACTCCACGTGCCCCCACCCCCCACCTTCCTCCATCTCTCACCCCACCTCCTCCCTCCTTGTCCTCTTTCCTCCCCATTGTCGCCCCCTCCCCCCCCTTGCCCCGCGCCGCTCCTCGTCTCCCGCTCAGGCGAGGCAGAACTCGACGCTGAGGCGCACGATGGCGGACGAGAGCAAGAGCGAGTACGCGTCGCAGCTGCAGCGCTTCAACACGGAGCAAAAGGAACACTACCATGGCGTCATGCCCAAAGTGTTCCAGGCAAGTCTCGTACCATGCACGCAGCCACAACAACAACAACAACAGCGACAACAACAACAGCAGCAGCAGCGGCAACGTCATCTACACTCGCAGCATTATCAGCGACAGCAGCATCATCATCGTCGTCGTCAACAGCAGCTGTGCCGTCAACAGCGTCGCCATCGTCAGCAGGAGCATCATCATTGTTGTCATAATCAGCAGTTGCAACAGTAGAATCATCATCATCATCATTGTCATCATCAGCGGTTGCAACAGTAGCGTTATCATCATTATCATCATTGTCATCATCATCAGTAGCTACAACAGCAGCAGCTTCATCAACAGTAGCATCATCAACGGTAGCATCATCAACAGCAGTTACAACAGCATCATCAGCAACAGTAGCATCATCAACGGTAGCATCATCAACAGCAGTTACAACAGTAGCATCATCAGCAACAGTAGCATCATCAACAGCAGCATCATCATCGGCAGAAGCAGTTACAACAGCAGCATCATCAACAGTAGCATCAACAACATCGTCATCATCATTATCAACAGCAGCAGCAGCTTCATCAACAACAGTAGCATCAACAACATTGTCATCATCATCAACAACAGCATCAACACCAACAGATTCTTAGCAAGTTGTGGCGACATCACCACGGCACTCGGTCCAACTCTGAGGTCACGGGAAACGTCGAATGCGGCTCGCTGCCAGGAGGTCGGGAGGTCAGCAGGTCATGGGACAGTTCCAGTTGGCACGGGTTATCTGACGCAGAGAGAGGGAGACTGCACAGCCTGTGCCGCTTCGCTACACATTGTAAAACATTTATATAAACTGGAAAGTGTTGTTCAAAACGAAGTGGTGACACTGATCGGTGGTGCAGTGGTTAGCGCGCTGTGCTACAAACCCAAGCGCCCCGAGTTCGATTACCGCTCACGGGCCAACACCAGCGACGATAATCTGAACCGGTCATGGGCCTCCCCTAGGTCGACTCAGCCTCAAATTAGTGCCTGGTGCGATGTGTTAACATCACCGCTGGGGAGACAAAGGCGGCCAGGCGTGGTGTTGGCCACCCACCCCCTCGTGTGCCGTGCCGGCCTTCATGGGTGCTACTCGCTAATAACACTTGCCCCAACAGTCTCTTGAGGCTATACGGGGGAATCCTTGTCTTTGTGAGTGCTCCTAGGTCGACTCGGCCTCAAATGAGTACCTGGTGCGGTGTGTAGTAAGCATCGGCAACAAGGGAGACAAAGGCAGCCGGTCGCCACGTGAGTAACCGCGCGTTTTCCGCCGCGCGCGTTCGCAGGGTCTGCAGACGCTGGAGGAGGGCCGCATCGTGCGGCTGGGCGACGCGGTGAAGCAGTTTGCTGAGTCGGAGCGCCGCGTGTTGCCCATCGTCGCCAAGTGCCTGGAGGGCATGACCCGGGCCGCCGACGCCATCAACCACGGCAATGTGAGGGCGAGCGCCCCGGCGCCTACCGGGCCCTGACCAGGGCTAACCGGCGCTCATCAGCGCTAACCGGGGCTAACCGGGGCTAACCAGGGCTAACCGGGGCTAACCAGCCCCAACCAGGGATAACCGGGACTAATCAGAATGAGTATTTGTTTATATGGGAGCTCTTTTTTTTAAGTTTGAGTTTTCAGTTTCATTTATTTGGTATAGCCCTGTGAGCCATTCGGCTCTTGAATCGGGTGCAACCCGCAACAAACAAAAAACTAAAACATGAACAAGAAAACATCTTAAAGTGACTATGCGCAAACAGAAAAATCCAGGAAAAAACAGCAAAAGAATCTTCCAGGGCTGGGAAACCCACAGTGGCGTTGGCCTCGCCACCGATGACGTGGGATTTTTTTTTGAATGAGAAGCCCATTCAGTAAAGGAGGAGCTTCTCTGGATTACTTGAGCTGTGGCCAAACATCCCAATGCAGGACCCACAGAGAGCCCGGGTAATTGTTTTGACAGTGGCCGGTTCTGGCCTCCTTCCCACAAGTGCTTATGCGGTTTTACCTCCTCGCCTCTGTGCGATTACAACATTCTACAGTGTTTTAAGATGCAAATCACATGAATGGCGCTGTATACGTCTATATATAAATATGAATTATTACATGCGCAGGTACATATAATCCGGTTATTATCGAGTGGATGTTTTCACTGACGTGTGTGCGTGTCTGCGGAGTGGTTAGCACAGCGCTTAGCTGTGCCACAAACCCGGCGATTCAGGTTCAGTTCAAGGCCACGGCTAACATCGATGACAAGTGGCCTTAAATGAGTACCTTCCGTGGCCACCAGTCCCTTCGCACTCACAACTGATACCCGTCATTATCTCCCGTAGCCACCAGTCCGTTCGCACTCACAACCGATACCCCCGTCATTACCGGCCGTGGCCACTAGTTCACTCACACCGCATGTAGGCTCTACTACGCTTGTAAGAAGTGTTTAATATTATTATTCACGCGGGAGGAAGCCGGAGTACCCGGAGAACACCCACGCCTTGCGCGAGGGGGCAACACTCTACCCCGCCCCCCCCCCTCCGTAAAGCTGGAATAAACGGATTGCGATGAGTCCACATTTTGCTGCACTGCATTCTCCTGGCACAGCCAGGAGTACGGTTCCTCCTCGACGCCCACGGGAGGAAGGAAGGGAGTTTCAAACGACATCTGCGTGTGCGGTCATCCACCAACCCTCGCCGCCGTTGCTGCCTCCACAGCGCCGGATTACAGGCCACGCCACGTGCAGTGTGGCCACCGTCACCGCCACCGGCTGTAAAAGTCCAGCCAGCACCTGCGACGTGACCGCCCCCCTGCCCGTCTTCATTTCCCTCTGCCGTCTCTCCCGGGGCAGGACTCTCAGCTCGTGATAGAGATGTGCAAGTCCGGCTTCGAGCGCCCGAGCGACGTCGACTTTGAGGACTTCAGCCAGTACATCGGCAAAGCCTGGCCCGAAGCGTCAGGCAGCGGAGGCGGCGGAGGCGGCGGCGGCGGGGGCGGCGGCGGTGGCGGTGGGGGCGGTGGAGGCGGCACGCTGACGTCGGCACAGCGCTCCGACGGACGTCCCGACATACGGGGCAGCGTCGGCCGCTCCAAGACCAAGCTGTGGCTGTTTGCCAAGAAGAGCAAGGTGAGAGGGATCGGGCAGCGGAGGGTGGGCGGGTGGGCGGGCGGGAGGACGAGCGTGTCCTGACCTGTGCTAGACAGGAGGGCCGAGCTGCCTTGCGCGGTTTGTACGTCTGGCTGTCTGGATGTCCTTGTCCGTGTGTACGTCTGGCTGTCTGGATGTCTGGATGTTCTTGTCCATGTGTACGTCTGGATGTCTGGCTGTCTGGATGTTCTTGTCCATGTGTACGTCTGGATGTCTGGCTGTCTGGATGTTCTTGTCTGTGTGTACGTCTGGATGTCTGGCTGTCTGGATGTTCTTGTCCATGTGTACGTCTGGATGTCTGGCTGTCTGGATGTTCTTGTCTGTGTGTACGTCTGGATGTCTTGCTTGTCTAGCTGTCTGCATGTTCTTGTCTGTGTGTGTGTCTGGATGTCTATCAGCCTGTCTGTTTGGCTGCCCATTCGCCTGGCGCCTCGGTAATTGGTGAATCGGTTAAAAATATATTTTTCCTACGCCTGCCTGCCTCTGTCTGTTTGTATATCTGACAGGCTGTTTTCCTGCCTGCCTATCTGTCTGTACATACACTATATATACATACAGTACATATGTTTGTCTGGCTACTTGGCTGTTTGCCTGTTGTCTGTCAACCTATCTGACTGTCAGGCTGCTTGCCTGCCTGTCTGCCTGCTTGCCTGCCTGGGTGCCTGCCTGTCTGTCTGCCTGTCTGTTTTACTGGACTTGATTAGGTTTGGAGGGAAGAGATTCATTCGATAAAATCTTCGCACTACCAAGTGTGTGCGCGTGTCTGCGTTCGATTTCCGCTCACGACCAACAACACCAGTGACGATTATCTGAACCGGTCATGGTCCTACCCTCGGTCGCCTCAAATGAGTACCTGGTGTGGTGTGTATACATCACGACTGGGGAAACAAAGGTGGCCGGGAGTAGTGTTTGCTACCCACCCGCTTGTGTGCCGTGCCGGCCTTTTTAGGTGCTACTCGCTAACAGCACTTGCCCCATCAGTCTGTTGAGCCTATGCGGGGAGATCTTTGTCTTTGTTAGTTTCATGAATCCAGCTCAAGCCGCTTTATAGACTGCATTGGTAAATTGTATTGATATCTCTCCGGCTCCGTGCGCAGTGATTGGTTGTCGTGGTTGTGTTCACAGCCCTGTGAGCGTCTGGGTTCGTCCGTGACACCGTTCGGCATGCGCTGCGAGATTCAATAACCCCGCGAGCACTCGTTAGAAAACGTTAATCGATGACGACGCCGCCTGTAATTGTAATACAGTAAACACCTTGGATTGCGAGTAACTTGGTCTGCGAGTGTTTTGCAAGACGAGCAAAATTTTTTAAATAAATATTAATTTGATGAACGAGCGAGGACTTGTAATACGAGTAGTACGTGTTTACGCTTTGTCTGCCGAGCGTCACGTGATCACAACTGATACAAGTGTGCTTTGGATTACAAACACGTTTTTGGAACGAATTATGCTCGCAATCCAAGGTTTTACTGTAATTCAACGGTGGGTGACGACACTATTTATTTAGTTATTTTTACGCAAGTACGCCACGGCAATTGACGTGAAAATCTCAAGAGCATTCCGTTCCGGCCAACGGCCGCGATTCGACAACGCCGTCGTAATCTTGACGGTCGAATTATGGTTGTGATTTTTTTTTGTAAACCCAATTAAAATCCGCGGTCGTTAGCGGCGCGTTCGCGTGACACTTGGATGGCGCGGGAGCAGCCGGGAGCAGCTGGGAGCGGCTGGGAGCGCCGGGCTTAAACCCGAACAAGGAAGCGCTTCCCGAGTTCCGGTTACCACAACCCCGTCTGCTACGACCTGGGACGTGAACAGACAATTCTGGGCGGGCGTGACGTCGTTGACGACTTTTGTGAGATCCGTTGAACTAAATACATAATATATATAGCCTTTCCTCTTACCCGTAAATAGGGATTCCTCTTAACCGTAAATAGGCCAGGGCGGGTAAGGAGGGCGGCATTGCTGCCCTTCTAGGGGTGGACGCAGCTGGGGTTGCCACCTGTCCTGGCGTTTTCCAGGATCGTCCTCTTGTGGTGGAGGCAGCTGTGATGTCTTCTAAGTCCTACGAAGGGGGGGGGGGGACATTAATGGTCCCGGGGTATTGTCAGATGCTTCGTAGTAACGGTAAGAATAATACGACCATAGTGACGATGATCCACCACTCCAGACAATGCGTTTGCGTGCAGTTCTCCCCACTTGTAGTGGTTTGAGACGTTGGTCTGTCCACGATGTGACCCGTTTGTTTTTGACCTTAAGAGTTTGCAATCCAAGCTGCGGCAGCTGATATTAATGAGCAGCGCAGCGGCTTTCTCCGATTGAGAAAATAGTTTCATAATTGCATCGTTTTTTTTGCTGCAAATAATCTATTTCACTCTGATTTTTGTGTCTCTCTGGTTTGAGCAATAATAATTTGATCAATATTCACTGCTTTCTCTGGCCCGGGTCAAGGCAATGTGACTTTACTCGAAGGTTCGATTTGTATTGGATCAACTTTGCAAGAGTTACCGTGACCCCATGTTAAAGACGAACAGCAGCGCTAACGCAACAGAGTAAGTCCCTAGTGGCAACGCAACTTTGCAATGAATCTTCATTGATGTTGGATCAACGTTGCAAGAGTTATCGTAACCCCGCGTGACAGACGGACAGGGCGAGTGCACAGAGCAAGTCCCTAGCGGCAACGTAACTGTGCGCAAAATTTTCGTTCATATTGGATCAAGGTTACAACAGTTATCGTAACCCTTCCCCCACAACCCCCCCCCCCCCCCGTGTTTCAGACAGACGGACAACGCTTAATGTAAAAGCATTTTCAACCGTAGTTGGCAAGCGTTGCTAAAGAATTTGATTCTGGGATGGAATCGCGATCCTGAACCGTGACCATCCATGGAGTCGTGAGTGGTGTGTGGGAGGGGGGCATCGAACCGGTACCCCCCGCCGCCACCCCCCTCCATGAAGGTATAACGGTAGTAGGCCTGATTGTATCTTATTCATGGTTCTTTCGAACCAAGAATATGAATCCCTGCAGTCACGAAAGCTTTAAATCGAAATCTGATTGTATCTTATTTATAAATCCTTACCTTGACAGCTGCCTGAATTAATGACCTCTGGGACCAGTTGGGTTAAGTGTATTTTTATACGACAGGAAGCTTAGGGGGGGATTGCCTTGGCTCGAAGGTTTTTGTCGAGGTCGGACCAAGGGTGGAGGTCATGTCGCTCAGCGACCCTGAGCCAGTGGCAGAAAGTCCACATTCCTCTACCGGGGACCGGTCACGCCATGCGATATGAATGACCATTGGCTTTCCACAAAGTGGTTCTCGGTTTGATTGGGTTGATGATGATAATAATGAGCATAGGTTAATCAGGGTTGAGGTCATGAGGTAACCATCGCCGATGCTGCTGCTGGTGACGTACCGCAGATATTTTACGACAGCGAATTCAATTACAACCTAATGAATAAAAAAAAAGCGTACGTCATTTACCAAAGAAAGCCTCACAAACAAAGTCTCAAGTATTTTTTTTTCAGCAGGATCCTGGCCGTGAATTCCTCTTAGTGCAGTGACGAGAAGGGAACCGTGGAACCCGGAGAAAACCCAGGAACCATGCGTGCCCGAGGAAGAACCTCTGAATGATACTGAACAGAAATTTGCGGACTTTCGGCGGCGCGGTTATCCATCGGAATTTGGAAGCGCGTGCGCGCTCTCGTACAGCGCGTTCGTTTCAGTGCGGGTGTAACGAGACAAAGATCCCCCAGATATTCTTCACAGACTGCTGGGACAAGAGCTTAGCAGGGTGTTTGAGTAGAATGGTGCGGGAGGATCCCAGCATGTGGGCTCGGTGCTGCACCAACAGCCGACGGTGCGAGGCTGCGGCTGCCGGCTGCTGCTGCGGAGGTTCCCGGTCTATTTTAATATCAACATTGGCGTCACACGGAGCTCCCGTCCGCTGTGTGTGCGTGTGTGTACGTTGAACCGTACGTAACCAACCTTGCTAATCGGAGGTGCGGGGGAAGGACAATCTAGATTTAAAAGTGCGTAGCTCCCAGTGGGCTTCCTAATATGGGAAGGAAGAGCGTTCCAGATGGCCAGCCAAAATCCGCCGCCATTGTGAGGATGGCTGGATTCATCTTCTTGGTTCTTTCGGTAAAGTCACGTAGAATAGAAATAATAAAATAAAATAAAATATAACATAATAAAATAATTAATTCAGCCTCTGTCTTCCCGACAGACCTGTTTTTCACCTGAGGACGGCTGCTTGTGTTGTGGCCGAAACGTCGTGAGAATTATTTTATTATGTTTGATTTTTATTATTTTATTATTTCCATTCTACGTGACTTTACCGAAAGAACCAAGAAGATGAATCCCTGCAGTCACGAAAGCTTTAAATCGAAAGGATGGCTGGAGTTCATGGTGACGGTCGGTAGTCACCGCTTCGCTTTGAGATAAACGAGCCTGCAAAGATATGCGCCGGCTACGTGGAGGGGGGGTGTGGAGAGACAGACAGACAGACGGAGGACACTTCGCTTAGACGGCTTCGTGTCCCGACTAACTGCCGCTATCATTAACAAGAGCTCTCTGACGAGGAGACGCGTTTGGGTGTGCGTGGCGTCAAACACGAATGCAGGAGGCCCGTGGTTGTTGTTGAGGTGAAGTAATACCGGAGATGCTGCTAAGCCGTGTGTCGCTTTGCCGGACACAAAAAACCAACCCCGCGTCCCGAACGCCAAGTCCACGCTTCATTCGCCCTGACCTCTAACCCGTGACCCCTGACCTCACCCGTGACCCCTGCCCTCTCACCCCAACGCTCTGCTCTGCTGCCTCTAACCGCGCGCCTCTTCCTCCTAACCCCGTGTGTGCTTTTGCTGCTTCTCATTTATATTGAAAGCCACTTTCATTGCTTTGGCTTCCTTTTAAATTTAATTTCCTTCTTCGTGGTGGTGGTGGGTCATGTGGTAATATATTTATATTTTTTAATCATTACCATTGCTGCTTTTGTATATTTTTTTTTTAACCCTGGTGGTGTTTGGGTCTCTCCCTCTCTCTCTCCCTCGTCTCTGTCTCTTGTGGTGACGGTGGCACTCTCTTCACATCCATTCCCTACACTCCCTGCTGCACCCCTCCCTCTCGCCATCCCTCCGTGCCCTCCCTCCCTCCCTCCCATATCTATTCCCCGCTCTCCCTTCCTCTCTCCCTCTCAATCCCTCTCGCGATCCCTCCCTCCTGCCCTCCCTCCACATCCATTACCCTACCCTCCCTTCCTCTGACCACATCTATTTCCTCCCCTCCCTCATCAATAGTTGGCATCCCTCCTCCCCACCCCGGGTGCCCCTCCTCCTCCGCCCCCCCCTGCCCATTCCGACGGCCACCCCGACCTGGAGGCAGCCCCTCCCTCGCCCTCCCCCCCCGGCTCCCCGACCTCCTGCCTATCGGGGGGAGGGGGCGACTCGCCCCCCAGCTACCCCCGAGAACCCTGGCTCAGCGTGGGGGGCCCCCGTTCTCCCCGAATCTCTTCCCCCCGCTCGCCGGGCGGTGGGGGTGGTGGGGCCGCCACCCTTTCAGGCCGAATCTCCGGCTTCCTATCGGGCCGGCTGGGGTCGCGACCCCTCGCCAAACCCTCCAGCCAGGCCGCGGTGAGCAACACCATCACAGCAACAGCAACCACCATGACCACCATCGTCATCATCATCAAACAAAAAAATGAATGGCTAAATCGCTGAGCACTGAACGTCTCATTGTTGGGTCTTCATTGGCCATGATTGTCATCACAATGATAATCACCACCATTATCATCATCACCATCACAATGGTTATCATCACCATCATCACCGAACCTCCGATTAGCAAGGTTGGCAACGTACGGTGCTAAAGAAGTTCAACATACGTACAATGATAATCACCGAAACCACCTTGATCATAATCAGGAGTAGAAACACGACACAAATTCTCTCCTGAAACCCTCTCATCGTGGCACAGCAAATCTTGACTTTGGCATTCACCTCCTAAACACATTGCTGCTGCCATACACAAGAATTGAATAAAATTATCATCTTCACCGCCACCGTGATCATCATCATCATAATTGCCATGACCCAACACCGCGACCAACACCATCACTTTCATCATCAACACCACCCCTATCATCGCCACCAACAACACTATCACCACCGCTACCAGGATCACCACCACCATCACAATACCCTAGAAGGGAGACACTCGGCACTGCCATCTCCTGGCCACTCGTAGCCGCACTCCTACAACGCATGGCAAGCTGTGCAGGCGGTCACCCGTCCGAGCAGTCACCAGGCTCAAATTGCCTTAGCTTTTGAAATATAACGAGATCGGGCGCATTTTGGCTAGGAGATGTTAACTACCTTGCCTGGTATACAGGAGGTCGTGGGTTCGATCCTGACCCTGACGCCTGCTCTATATTTGGAGTTTGCGTGTCTCTCCCTCTCATCATCATCACGGTAGCTAGAAGATGTTAACTACCTCGCCTGGTATACAGGAGGTCGTGGGTTCGATCCCGACCCTGACGCCTGCTATATATATTTGGAGTTTGCATGTTCTCCCCGTGATGGAATGGATTTTTTTCCGGGTTCTCCGGTTTTTCCCTCCACATTTATAATCAACAACTCTACGCGTTTCGAGTAATTGGCTGCTATAAATTTCCACACGATAAGCCACTTCGTTGAGCTATCATTTGTGGCTAGGTCGCTTCTGAAAAAACACTACATAGCTCAATGGGGCCTTACCTGGCACGAGTGGTCGGTGATGGCCCAGTTTGCTAGTCCAAGCCTGACCCCCAACTCCCACTGCCTGCGCGACGCGACCACCCCCGTCACTCCCAACCCACCGCTCACACTCCCATCAATCGCCCTTGTGTCCGGCAAGGCACAAGCAGGTTAGCAGCTGTGTAGGGGACTCCAGCTCGACTCTCATCCGATTGCTTGGGTGATCGGTCACTGTACGGTTTGTCGGTTCAGTTACAGCACTCGAATAATCCGGGAACACGAAAATAGGTTGGAAAGCAAAATGAGTCTCAACCTCTGTTCCCCCACGCGGGGTGCCGCTGGACGGGAGGTGATGGGCAGGGGCTTGGCGACCTCGTCGACATCATCAGCCGTGTCGCGCTGGTTTTCCCGCCTTCGTTATCCAGTTTATGAAGTTGTGTTGATAAATGATGACTCCATTACCTCTTGGAGAGGACAGCGCTGTCAGCGGGCAGAGGACAGCGTCGAGAGGCGCCGTTACAGAGTGAGATGGTTTCTGTGTCACTGACGGTTTGTGTCGTCTCGTCTCGTCCTGTGTCGTGCTGTGTTTGTGTCTCCCGATCGCTGATCTTTCCTGTCCGGCCTTCGCTGTGCGACACTGTCTGCCAGTCGTGCGCTCACCCATTCAACAGCAACAGCGACAGCAACTTAAATTTACATCGCGTCCCAAGTGCAATCGCTGCTCTAGGCTCTTTTCTTTATAAAAATGAAAAAAGAATTAAACGCTGCCATAGATTAGAAGAGTGGAGTGTGGAGGCGAGGGGTCAGAGCAAGGCAACATGGGAGAGCGAGAGAGAGTGAGAGCAGGACCAAGAGTGAGAGAGCGAGAGAGAGGGAGTGAGAGTGAGAGAGAGCGAGAGAGGGAGAGTGGGAGAGAGGGAGAGTGGGAGAGAGGGAGAGTGGCATCATGGCACAGCCAGGCACGAATCAGCCAGGGACCGCAAAAGTTGCCAGCAACAACCAGGGCAGCCAGGGACAGCCAGCAACAGCCAGCAACAACTCGGATAGCTCGGGGGTAGTTAAGGAAGCCAAGACTGCATTAACTGATATAGTTGTGAGCAACAAGTTGTTACGCAAGAGTACGTTTTAGAGCAGGCGCCATTGAGCTTGCTATTTGCATATTCTATTAAATGACCTGCGCACCATTGCTTGCAGAGAGGCCGTCCTTGCCAATTAAACATCGGGTAGTTCGCTTGCATTGGTCCGCGCCAAGCTGACAAGACGCTGGATGTCGAAACCGGTCCACAAATGGTCCGCCTGTATGCGATCCAAAAGCCGCTGATGAGATGCACTCTAGAAAAAATGCCCGTGCGGCCGATGGGTTTTGTGTGTAAAGGAAATATTTCAATATTTACAAGTGCGTGGCCTGTAGCATATGTTATAAAGGGGCCCTAAATAAAATAAAACACTTAAATATTAAAACGCACACATTTTTTACTTGCATAGTAAAGTAATTGTATTTTTTCATTTGCTATACAGCCAGATAATACGACAAATCGCTAACCTTAAACACCCAGTCGTTCATAAAAGTTGAAGGCGGTATAGTACTATAGTAATAGAGCAAGTGCAGAATCACTGAACTGGAATTAATAGCTTGAAAGCATTTAGCGCGGCGCCCTTGTAAGTGCAGGGCCCTTAGAGTTATGCCACTTTTGCTACTAGGATAATCCGTCACTGTATTTTCTTATTATGTGGAGACACAACAGATGGGTGGGGTGAGGGGGGGTTCATGGTAATGAACATCCAATGGTGTTACACAAACGCTGGGGTTTGTTTTTTATTTTTCCCCCACAGCCCGTTATCATAGATGTGTCGGGAGTCTGGGTTTGTTGACCTGTCTCCTCACCTTCCTGTCCCGTCTCTACGCCCCTGAAAGCTCCTTGTCTGTCCCTGTTTTTCTTGTCTGTCCCTGGCTCTCTGGCAATCAGAAGAAGCTCAGTGTGAAGGGGGTAAGGCATCATCCGTACGTCCGTGCATGTTTATCCGTCTCTTGCCACGTTCATCGTTTGAACGCCACCCCCCCCCCCAATTCATCCACCCCACCTTACCAGCCCCTCCATTATAACCAGGGCTTCATTTCAGCCAGGTCCGTCCCGATCGGATGTGAATATCGCTCCCTTCTCCACGGCGCGTGTCCTTGATTTAAAAGGAGTCAAAAGTGGTTTTCCTGCAAGTCCCTGAGCCGTTGATGGAAATTCCATAGTCACGTGGTGGTGGGTAGGTGGGGGGGGGGTCTCTCCATAGGATGGAACCCACTACTCTTTGGTTTTTTTGGTAAAGTCACGTAGGTAAAAATAAAAAATAACTAAATTAAATCACGTTTCGGAAGCAACACAAGCATCCGTCATCAGGTGTAACCGCTTCCGAAACGTCGCGATATATTGATTTATTTTATTTTGTTTTCACCTACGTGACTTTACCGAAAAAAACCAAAGAGTATGGATCCTTGCAGTCACGAAAACTTCAAATCTAGGATGTAACCCACTTTTGACTTCCCCCACAAAGTGGTATCTATTTTATCGATCACTCGCCCCAGATGGAGGGGTGATGGGTTGAGTCAAAGACAAAAGATTTTAATTTCACGGCCTTCCAATTGTGAGACACGCACTCGCCCCTACTACTGAGCCACAAGGCCGACCTGAGTTGCCTCATTTAATTAGCGAATTGCAACCCTTCTGTGCTTGCTTTCAGTGATTGTTTTACGTGTTTGTGATCGTGTGTGATTGGCAATTATTGTGGGGAGCGGTAGTGTAGCGGTTAGTGTGTTGCGTTACGAACTTGGCGACCCGGGTTCCATTCCTACTCATGGCAAACACCAGTGACGATTATCTGAATCGTTCCTGGGCCTCCCCTAGGTCGACTCGGCCTCAAATGAGACAAAGGCAATTGGACGCGGTGTTGGCCACCCACCCCCTCGTGTGCCGTGCCGGCCTTTATCGGTGCTCGCTAACAGCACTTGCCCCTGCAGTCTGTGAAGGCTATGTGGGGGATCTTTGATTGGCAATTATGAGATTTAGATGTCGCCTTGTCATCTGCGTCTTCTTTTTCGTCTCATTTTGCCAGTAGTGGCGGGGGGGGGGATTTATTAAATTGAAATGAAATTATTCGGATTCATGGCGATCTGCTAGTTTTCAAAACGAACATCTGTGGAGCGGTTTAGGCTGTGAAAGAGGCCTTACTGATTGTGTGCGGATCCATGGTGATGGCAAGGAATCGTTTATGCAGCACATTGGGTCGTGATTCTTCATCAGTTTTTTGTTCTGCTGCTTCATGAACAAGCAAACTAATTTGTAAACGTGCTTGTGCTTTTTGGTCCGTGTGCGCGCACGCACGCACGTACACTCACGCCTGGGTGATCATTCACACTCGCGCTCTGCACACGTGGAATCACACGTGCACGAGTACTCAACGCACTCGCCCACGTGTGTGACTTGTGTACACTCACTCACGCACACACCATCACACTCACTCGCGCACTCCATCACACTCACACTCACACACTTCAACGCACTCAAATCACTCACTCACACTCACGCACTCAAATCACTCACTCGCACACTCCATCACTTACTCACGCACTCAATCGCTCAAAATCACTCCATCACTCACAATCACTCATACAATCACTCCCTCCATCACTCACAAACTCACACTATCACGCACTCTATCACTGCATCACTCACTCACTCATTCACACACTCCATCACTCGCTCACATACTCACGCACTCCATCACTCCATCAATCACTCACACACTCCATCACGCTCACACTCGCTCACGCACTCCGCCGCTCGCGCTCCCAGCCCGTGCCGTGCGAGGACCAGAGCCACCTTCCCCCCGAGCAGCGGCGCAAGAAGCTGCAGAGCAAAATCGACGACTACAACCGCGACATCCAGAAGGAGGTGGAGCAGAAGTACGTGCCGCCCTCGCCACCGTGTGCTCTATCCACTGCTGCATGGACGCCTCGAGCGAGCCGTCGCCCGGTCTCGCGGTCCTCCGATGCGGCAGTGCATCCATCCGCTGACATATGTCAGCGGTTGTCCTGCTGTGTCCGTGCCACCTGATGAAGGTCGCTTGTGTTGCGATCGAAACATCGTGATTTGTTATATTTGATTTTATTTCCAACTACGTGACTTTACCGAAAGAACCAAACAGTATGGATTCCTGCAGTCACGAAAGCTTCAAATCACGATTGCATCCATCCAATCGGCATCACGATTGGCCTTGGTTTATCCACTGCTACATGAAGGCTTCCCCAAGCAGTTTCCATCTCTTGCGGACTTGCAATGTGATGGGTATCGTGCGCCGTGCCCGGCCTTCGTAGGTTTCAGCCGTTTGAGTCGCTACGGGGCGTTCTTTCTTTGTCTTGTGCGCGCACGTACGTTAATGTGTTGCGTGCGTCTGTCCTTACGCGTTCACACGTGTGTACATGTGTGTATGTGTATGGATAGCGGTGGTGTAGCGGTTAGCGTGCTGCACTACGAACCCGGCGACCCGAGTTAGATTCCCGCTCATGGCCAACATCAATGACGATTATCTGAACTGGTCATGGGCCTCCCCTAGGTCGACTCAGCCTCAAATAAATACCTGGTGCGGTGTGTAAACATAACTACTGGGGAGACAAAGGCGGCCGGGCGTAGTTGCTGGCCACCCACCCCCCTCGTGTGCCGTGCTGGCCTTCATAGGTTCTCGCTAACAGCACTTTCCCCAACAGTCTGCTCAGGCTATACGGGTAGCTTTGTCTTTGTGGGGAGCGGTAGTGTAGTGCTTAGAACTTTGCACTACGAACCCAGCGGGGCCGTGTGTGGTGCCGGCCACACCACCGCACTCGTACACCACCAGGGGGGCGGAGTTGGTGGTGGGCATCTTTGTCTATTGTGTGTATTAGGTGAGGCTGTACAGGGGGGGGGACCTCTGCCTCTGTGTGTGTGTGTAGGGAAGCGCTGCACAAGATGAAGGATGTGTACGCGCGGAACCCGCAGATGGGAGACCCCTCCAGCCTGGAGCCCAAGCTCAGCGAGATCGGCCATCGCATCGACCGCCTGCGCCAAGGCCTGCAGAAGCACGAGGTGTGACCACCCCCCCCCTCCTGACTCTCCCAGCTCTGGCCCTTGACCCCCGTCTATTAAAAAAAAAAAAAATCTATTTATTTTCTTGCGTTTTTTCACACTTTGAAAGAGGTCAACCCGTTAGCTCTGATCGTGTGTCCGTCCGTCCGTACCGGGAGTAGGGTCACGCGAACGCTCGTAAAGGCGATCCAACACAAACCAAACTTTAGTGTAAAGTTGCGTTGCTCTTCAGGACTTTATCACGGGACTCTATCATTCGCATTTGCTCTGCAACACGGGGGGTGGGGGGGGGGAGCCACGACAACTGCCGTAACGCTAATCAGACACGAATTAAACTTTGGCGTGCAGTTGCGTTTGCCGTTCGGGAATCGCCGTCGAGAAAATCGGCAAAACTACGGTAAATCCGCTCTCTCCCTGCCGCCGCCGCTATCCTCGCCCGCTCCCCCCGCCCCCCGTTGTCTCGCCGCGGCCTCCGGACGCACCGCGACGTGAGCGCGCCACCGTTAGAGCCGTCGAACTTGAACTCTTCCCGGACGGCGACGCAGAATCCGTGAGGGCGCCGTGGTGTTTTTTATCGCCACCACCCCTGCCAAAATCGCGCTCCGCGAATGTTTCATTTCGTCGTTTCGTTTTAATTCGGTCGCCAAACCCATCACCGCTCCCACTCCCTCCCTCCCTCCCCCGGCTCTTACGACCGCTCGTCCACTTGGGACTCGAGTTGTCCCTTCCATCTAAGTCGTGGCTGTATAACAGAAACAAAGATCCCCAGTTTAGCCTTAACGGACTCTAGGAGCAAGTGTTGTACGCGAGTAGCGCCTACCAAGGCCGGCACGGCACGCGAAGTGGGTGCGTTGGCCAGCACCACGCCCGGCCGCCTTTGTCTCCTCTCCCTTGTGGCGATGTTTACACACAGCACCAGGTACTTATTTGAGGCTGAGTAGACCTAGGGAAGCCCCAGGACCGGCTCAGATAATCGTCACTGGTGGTGGTAGACATGAGTGGGGCTCGAACCTGGGCGGGCCGGGTTCGTGGTGCAGCTCGCTAACCGCGACACCACCACTCCCCACCGTGACCGCACTCGCGCACAGCAAACACTCACGCAAGCACTTACGCACGCACTCACGCAAACACTCACGCACGCACTCACGCAAACACTCACGCAAACACTCACGCAAACACTCACGCAAGCACTCACGCACGCACTCACGGAAACACTCACGCAAACACTCACGCAAACACTCACGCAAGCACTCACGCACGCACTCACGCAAACACTCACGCAAACACTCACGCACGCACTCACGCAAACACTCACGCAAACACTCACGCACGCACTCACGCAAACACTCACGCACACACTCACGCACGTGCGCGCATTGATCCTCCACTCAGCAGTGGTACAGCCCGGTACGGCTTTCTCAATCAGCCCCCTGGGCTCCGGGTTGGATTTTCCTGGCTCCCGCTCTCTCTGTCTCCCCCCCCCTGCGCCCACCCTCCCCCTCCCTCCCCATTGGTATCGTGAGTTGAGCGGTTGGCAATTTCTTTTTTAATATATATCCGAGGCCGTTCTGAATGTTTCATTCGGCCGGGGATCTGTGGAGAGGAGCCATCCCTTGGCACGTGGTTGGGGCCCAGTATTTATTTCATTCACCACCAGAGAGTTGATGATGATGATGATAGTCCAATCCCCAACCAGGTGCTCTCACCAAAGACACTTGGCAGCCACTGAGCCAGTGGTGGTAATTCCACATTACCATGGCGGAGGGCCCAGTCTATCGACGGGGTGACCAATGATGGACGTGTGTTCTCTAGTCCACGTGTTCCTCTCTCTCTCTGTGTAATTCCAACGCTTCTTTGCATTTGCTCTGTCGTCTTCATTACTTGCCAGGCTCCTGATCCGTACGTCATCACAGCTGGTAGTACGCACGCTTTAAAAGGGACGCTTTTGTCTGGGCACGCTGGCTAAGTTGTTGTTGTTGTTCTTTTCCATTACCAAGTTCCGTTGTCTTTATGGGCCAAAAGCCAACCCACACCAGGGCGCGTAATAGAGACAGCGGTGCCCTCAGTGGCTATCGGTGCCGTTCCCGCTCGCTCACTCGCTCGCTGTTTTAATCTCCCATCTGGGGTGAGTTAGTGCGCTAGTGCGCCGTAGTGTCAGATTTTGTTGAATTTGCGTGTGCGCGCGTGTCTGCGTGTACTGGCTGTGTGTGTATGTGTGATGTGGATGCGCGTTTGCACTGGATGTGTGGGCGTGTGCGCGCGTGTTGTAGCTGTGCGTGTGTGTGCTGGCTGTGTGTGTGTAGTGGATATCTGCGCGCACATATTCTTTGTGTGTACTGGTTGTGTGTGCGCACATAGTCTAGCTACGTGTGTGTGTGTGCTGGCTGTGCGTGTGTGTTGGCTGTGTGTACGTACATTTGTGTGTGCGCACATAGTCTAGCTACGTGTGTGTGTGCTGGCTGTGTGTGTATGTTGGCTGTGTGTACGTACTGGTTGTGTGTGCGCACACAGTCTTGCTACATGTGTGTGTGTTCTAGCTACGTGTGTGTGTGCTGGCTGTACGTGTGTGTTGGCTGTGTGTACGTACTGATTGTGTGTGCGCACATAGTCTAGCTACGTGTGTGTGTGTGCTGGCTGTGCATGTGCGTGGTGTGTGAGCATGCCACCCACGCCTGCAAGGTTGCTATGCAGCCCTGGCCGTGTGACAACGGCTTTCTCTCTCGCCGCTTCGCTGGGTAATAAATCAGTTCCTGTGCTTTGCAATGAAATGAGAACAGGAAAAATGTTACAACTGCCCAGCTAGAACCGTCACTGGTGAGGCCCAGTGTCCGTGCCGAGCTTCCACTCGTGCAGTCGCGCAGTGGTTAGCGTGCTAACCTACAAACCCGGCAACTCGAATTAAATTCTCGGCCCGGCTCACTGTCTGTGGCTCGCTATCGCTTATACGGTGGTACAGCGGTTAGTCATAATAAAGTTTTTTGGGTTAGATCGCGTCATTTATAAATATATCGCAACCCTCCACGTGTTAAACTGTACAGCGGTTAGTGCGTTACACTACGAACCCGGCAACCAGAGCTCAATTCCGAGCCAGGCTCACTGTCTGTGGCTCGCTTTCACTGATGCGGTAGTGCAGCGGTTAGCGAGTTACACTACGAACCAGGTGACACGAGTTCGATCCCCCGCCAAAAACGTGGACGGGTGATTTACTTCTGAAATTGCAGTCCGAATTAGGTTTTACACCATGGGAAGATGGAGCGACGAAACGAGGTCACGGCGCGGGTTGGCGAGATGGATAATTGCATATCGAGAGCGTGGCAGATGTGATCGTGTGCGAGTGGGTGGGTGAGTGAGTGAGCATGAGTAGGTGGAGTGAGCTTCAAGGGGCATGGTAGCCACGGTGGTGGTAGTAGCGATAGCGAAGGGCTAAGAGGAGGTGACGGACCACCGGTGCGTGAGCGACCGAAGTGAGCCAGCGGGTGCAGGTGCCTCAAGCATCTGTGAGAAAGAGCTTCATAGCTCATCGGATTCCTCCAGCATGAATAAAGATTCTGATTCTGAAAAAAGATATATTCTGAACCAACCTGCCTGCTTTAGCTTGAATTCTACGATCATCTGACGCCTGACTACGACGATGACGATGATGATCACGATGACGATGATGATTACAACAATGATGACGATGATGATGACGACGATGATGACGACGATGACGACGATGATGGTGACGATAATGACCACGATGATGACGACGATGATCGCGATGACGATGATGATTACAACAATGATGACGACGATGATGACGATGATAACGATGATGACGATGATGACGATGATGATGATGATGACGACGATGATCGCGATGACGATGATGATTACAACAATGATGACGATGATGATGATGACGACGAATGACGACGATGACGACGATGATGGTGACGACAATGACCACGATGATGACGATGATGATCGCGATGACGATGATGATTACAACAATGATGACGATGATGATGATGACGACGATGATGACGATGATGATGGTGACGATGATGGTGACGACAATGACCACGATGATGATGACGACGACGACGACGATGATCGCGATGACCGTGACAAACCCCGCATGGCCCCCCTCCTCACCCCTGTGCCCCCCCCCCCCCCCAGACGTGGCTGGCGGAGGCCGAGGGCCGTGCGGTGGGCAAGGCCGACACGCCGCGGCGTCACAGCAGCGTGCTGTTCGAGCAGGCGGGGTCGCCCAGGTCGGGATCGGCCAACGGGCCCAGCGCTCGCGAGAGGTAACTACACTAAAACAATTACCAGGTAAGGCCCCACTGAGCTGCAATGTAGCTCTTTTTCAGAAGCGACACGGCTATCACAAATGACGGCTCAACGAAGTGGCTGGTCATGTGGAAATGTGTAGCAGCCAAGTGAACGCAGATTGATGCTAAATGTGGAGGGAAAATCCGGAGTACCCAGAGATATATCCACACGACCTCCTGCATATCAGGCGAGGGAGATAACATCTCACCACCCGTGGCGCTACTACCCAAAGAAAAAGATCCCCCGTGTATCCTTAATTAACTATTGGGGCAAGTGCTGTTAGTGGCGAGCAGCAGTGAAGGGCGGCGCGGGGCGCGAGGTGGTGGTGTAGGCGGTGGTGTCCGACACCGCACCGGGTACTCACTTGAGGCTGAGTCGACCTAGGGGAGGCCCAGGACCGCTTTACATATTTGCCACTGACGTTGACCGTGAGCGGGGAGCGAACTCTGGTCGCCGGGTTCATAGCGCAGCACGCTAACCGCTGCGCTACCACTCCCCACGCACGCACGCACGCACGTCACGTGAGCGTGTACAAAGACAAAGATCGCCCTTACAGCCTTCGCAGGCTTTTGGGGCAAGCGCTGTTGGCGAGTAGCAGCGATGAAAACGGGCAACGCTACCTGAGGGGGGTGGTTGGCCAGCACCATGTTTACACACCGGCACGCGCATCTGCTTTCATAAACCGCCTGCGGTCCACGCGGGCGGTTTCAAACCCCGTAACAACCCCCCCCCTCAGTGGGCGAGGAGCATCTGCATGGCAGAAGCGACGCGCGAAGATATTTCACCAACGCATTCCCCCGATTGACCGGTCGCCGACCGCCGCAACCGCCGCTCTCGCGCGTACACTCCCCCTATAGAAGCCGCGTGCCCGTGCCGTTACCCCCGTACCCCTCCTACCCCCCTCGAGCAGTCCCGACGGGAGCTACACGGAGGACCACAGCCACAGCGGCGGGCACACGGACTTCGACGACGAGTTCGACGACGACGCGCCGGCTATCGGGCGCTGCCGGGCTCTCTACACCTTCGACTGTGAGTGCCCCCCCCCCCACCCTTAGCTGCCCCTTACTCCTCCCCCACTCTTACCCCCCTCCCCCGCCCACCCTTTCACCACCATCGCTCCACACTCACCCCCCTCTCACTTCTGTCTAATAATAATAGTTCAATTTGTAACACGCGCAAATTTGCAGACGTAGTGGCCGCAACTCAGAGGCGCGGAGCCAAGCTCAGAGTCGCTCGAAAGCACGTGATTGTAGAGGTGAGTTTTTAAGTCTCTCTCTCCACACTCACCTCCCTCTCACCCCCGTTTCTCTCCTCTCTCCACCCCGGCTCCCCCTCCTCTGGCTGCCCCCCCCCCACCCCTCCGGCCGTTTCTCCCCCGCCGCGGCGCAGCGGAGAACGACGGCACGGTGCCGCTGCACGAGGGCGACTCGCTCGACGTGCTGGAGGAGGACCGCGGGGACGGCTGGACGCGCGTCCGGCACGGCGAGCGCGAGGGCTACGCGCCCACCTCCTACCTCGAGATGCTGCCGCCCGACCCCGGCACCTCGGGCCATACTTCACCCGAATCCGCCGGGCAGGGCGCCATGACCTACATTTGAGCGACGACGACCGCCACCGCCACCACGGGCCCGGCGCTTTGCTCCCGGGAGCGGGCGGCGAAGTTGACGCGGGACAGACGAATTCTGGGAGGTCTCGCCGCGGTTCGCGTCCGCGCCGTGAGGTTTTTACCGAGACTCCCGTCGAAAGGGGCCGGAGTCGTCGAGGCGGTTCAAGTCCGCTGCTGCTGCTGCTGTTGCTGCCTGCGGTGGGTTCAGACTTTTGGACGTTCGGAGGAGCGTGGAGCAAGTTACCCCGGCGTCCGCGGCTCGTTGCAAATCACCGACTGCTTCCCAGCGCGTCCCTTGGCGGCGGAGAAAAGGGGGGGGGGGGCGTAGCTTTGGAAGTGCGCAGGCGGTGCGATCGCCACCCCGGGCCCCCAACGGGCCGGAAAGGTGCCGAGTCCCCGTCGCGTGGTTTACGAATCGCCGGGGGAGGTGGGGTGGGGTGGGGGGTCTCGTCGCTTGCCGAAAGGGTCGCCGGGGTCACTCGTGAGGATGGGAACGCCTGTTTCTCCGCCGCCCTGTCGCCGAAGCCGCACACACTGCACAGAGAGACTCGCTGGCCGGTTGCAGAACGGCCGGGGCTGCGTGGCGGACCGTGCCAGGCTAAAAAAGAGTGACTTGTACCGTGTTTCCTTTTTGTTTAATTGTTATTCTCTTCAACTGGCAAGGGACAGCTGATATACATAGCGCTTATCGTATGTCCCACAAATAGATGCAGTGCCCGTATGTACCCAGTACCAATATATAACGACGCCGATGATGATTGTGACGACGTTAATTCTCAACCGCCGTAGGAAACACATATCACCAGGACCCGTGTCTGGAGGTCCGGTTCGTCGGTTCTACAGATGTGAAAAGGATGAAATCACTACGGTACCAGGCGGGCGGTCGCGTTCGTGGAAAACGGCGGACATCCTGTGGATAGCAGAGAAAAACAACGACAACAACAACAACAATGGGGAAATGACGACGAAAAGTCTTATCTTGCCACTCATTTTTTCTACTTTTTTATCATTACCACGACTCGTTTAGTTTTGGTTGATTCTTCGTTTTTTGTCGCACGCGCGCGCCGAGTTGCTGTCCCGACCCCCATGGGTTTGTATTTTTAAAATTTCCTTTGTTTACTTTGCACTGCCGCTGCAGCACGCCGCACGCAACTGGGGGGTGGGGGGGGGGGGTCGAGGCGAGATTTCTTACGAACAAAAAACGAGACGGAGAGAGCGGCGCGGCGGAATGCGACGGGCGGATTTTTTGTTGTTGCCTCGTCGCGGAGTCGCCGGTCCGTGGGAACTAAAAAAAGATCTCGCCGCTCGTTTGCCGTGTGACCCAATTAGCACCGTGTGCCAGCGCCGTGCCAGTGGTCGTGCCAGCTTTGTGTCAAGAGCGTTTGTGTGCCAGCGTCACGCTCCGTTTGCTTCCACCGTTAACGCTATACAGCGACCGCCCCCCCCCCCCCCCCCCCGCGCCACGCGTCCGTAAGATGTTTCGGTCACCGTCGTTATGAATTCTTACGCGCACCTGAGACGCGGAGAGGCAGCAGGAGGGACACGTTGGGTTAGAGAACGATAGGCGGGTTTTCAAGATGGAAATTCCAAATTGTTAAGCGAATGAACAAAACGCTCTACACATTTGCCAACAACACTGCCTGAAACAATTTTACTATTTAGGGCGGTGTTTTTGCCAAATGTGTGTTGAGTTTGTCATTGTTTGCAGACCACTGCCCAATGCAAGTATCACAAATGTTTTTTTCAATTACATTTTCAGTAAATGTCAGTTGGGGGCTTTGGGCCTGGCAACGCACCACGGCTCGAAGGGATGACGCCGATGGGTCGAGAAGAGTTGAAGGGAGAAGGCAGCCAGCGGAATCGACCGAAGGTTTGACTTGGGCCGACTCGCCATTTTTACGTTGTTAATTGCGCGTCCTGGAATTTTAAATAATTTCTCCCCTTAAAACGATTCCATCGAAAGTGATGCGGCCCAACTGCCGTCGGTGGCGGCGGCGACTTGGCCTTTTTGCCGGTGAAGGCGTCGGGGTTGCCACCCGTCCCGTTTTTCCCAGGATCGTCCTCATGCCATGGAGAGAGGCATCTGCCATCCTGGGAAACACGTGAATCTTCCCGGGGACATTACAAAAAGAGTCCAGACTTTTGTCAGTCGTGTAATCACAATGGTGATAGTCATAACACACGAACACATTTACGTGTCGTCCTCACCTCTCCCCGTGCCGTGGGATATTATTCTTGTTCTCGCCGTGATACTTCCCGGTTTATATTGACCTCGCGTGTCCATCCAGCAGCGGCAGCGATTGCGGTTTTGTCGCACAAAGGCGGCGTTGTCAAAACCCTCCTTCCCTACTCGACCGATGCGAATTGCCACGCTGACGATTCTGTAACCGCGCACCGATTTTCGTAGCAAAAACAACCAAATCGGTCGATGTTTTATTTTTAACAAAGCGGTACGCGCCACAGAGATGCCCATCCCTCGAGTGATGGGGGAGAGGCCCCTTCCCCCCCCCGGCTGTGGTGCGAGCTGGGCCATTGCCTTTAACCCGTGCACCGATGATTAGGTCACAAAAAAACAAATGGTTACGTGGGAAATTTCGTGGGAGAATGTGGCCACGCAACCCAAACCCCCCCCCCCCCCCCCACGGACAATATATAGCTGACCAGTTTAACACTTAGGCTTTCGCGAACAATGTTATTCATGAGTAAAAAAAAATTGGCTTAGATGGCGTAAATATAAATGTGTCATTAACCCACCACCACTCGACACAGCCAAAGCAAAGCGTGCCAATGAGTTACTGCTTCAGCACACCGGTGTGTTGGTGAGTCAATCCACATGTTGCGTGATGAAGTCATAACTAATGCCCACGTTTTGCTTGCATGGCAAACCTTACTAATTGGCTGTGTCGGGTGGGCTAACGACACATTTATATCTTCTTGGTTCTTTCGGTAAAGTCACGTAGAAGGAAAATAATAAAATAATAAAAATACAACATATTACGTTTAATATTTAATAATGCTTTATTTTATTCTTTTATTATTTCCCTTCTACGTGACTTTACCGAAAGAACCAAGAAGATGAATCCCTGCAGTCACGAAAGCTTTAAATCGAGACACATTTATATTTACGCGACCTAACCCAAAAACAACCCTCATCGTCATCCAGTAAACCACTGTCGTCCGTAACGCCCTCATCGCCGGAGGACAACAAGGAACAGCAAAGCGACACGAACACTTCTCTCCCGAAGCCCTCTCGTCCATGGCCAGCAGCAGCAGTAGCAGCAGCAGCAGTAGCAGCAGCAGTAGCAGCAGCAGCAGTAGCAGCAGTAGCAGCAGTAGCAGCAGCAGCAGTAGCAGCAGCAGTAGCAGCAGTAGCAGCAGCAGGTAGCAGCAGCAGCAGCAGCAGTAGCAGCAGTAGTAGCAGTAGCAGCAGTAGCAGCAGCAGTAGCAGCAGCAGTAGCAGCAGCAGCAGCAGTAGCAGCGTAGCAGCAGTAGCAGCAGTAGCAGCAGTAGCAGCAGTAGCAGCAGCAGCAGCAGCAGCAGTAGCAGCAGTAGCAGCAGTAGCAGCAGTAGCAGCAGTAGCAGCAGTAGCCAGCAGCAGCAGCAGCAGCAGTAGCAGCAGTAGCAGCAGTAGCAGCAGTAGCAGCAGCAGCAGTAGCAGCAGTAGCAGTAGCAGCAGTAGCAGCAGCAGTAGCAGCAGCAGCAGTAGCAGCAGTAGCAGCAGTAGCAAGCAGTAGCAGCAGTAGCAGTAGCAGCAGTAGCAGCAGCAGTAGCAGCAGCAGCAGCAGTACAGCAGTAGCAGCAGTAGCAGCAGTAGCAGCAGTAGCAGCAGTAGCAGTAGCAGTAGCAGCAGTAGCAGCAGTAGCAGCAGTAGCAGTAGCAGCGTAGCAGCTAGCAGCAGTAGCAGCAGCAGTAGCAGCAGCAGTAGCGCAGCAGCAGCAGTAGCAGTAGCAGCAGCAGTAGCAGCAGTAGCAGCAGTAGCAGCAGTAGCAGCAGTAGCAGCAGCAGCAGCAGTAGCAGTAGCAGCAGCAGTAGCAGCAGTAGCAGCAGTAGCAGCAGTAGCAGCAGTAGCAGCAGTAGCAGCAGCAGCAGCAGCAGCAGTAGCAGCAGTAGCAGCAGTAGCAGCAGCAGTAGCAGCAGTAGCAGCAGTAGCAGCAGTAGCAGCAGTAGCAGCAGCAGCAGTAGCAGTAGCAGCAGTAGCAGCAGTAGCAGCAGCAGTAGCAGCAGCAGCAGTAGCAGCAGCAGCAGTAGCAGCAGCAGCAGTAGCACCGCCAACATTGGCATTTAGCTCCTGCAGCAACATTGCTGCCATGAATGCACAAGAATGGTATCGTTGAAAAAGAATCGGCAGCCTGCCTTCTGACGGATGCTCCCTTGAATCCGACCTGTATCTTTAATTTGTACGTGTGTGTGTATATGGGAGCGGTAGTGTAGTGGTTTAGCACGCTCTGCTACGAAACCCGACGACCCAAGTTCGATCAACACTAGTCCTGGGCCTCCCCTAGGTCGACTCGGCCTAAACTGATTACCTGGTGCGCGGTGTAACCATCGCCACTGGGGAGACAAAGGAGGCCGGGCGTGGTGTTGGCAACCCACCCCATCGTATGCTGTGCCGATCTTTCATAGGTGCTCGCTAACAGCACTTGCCCCAACAGTCTGTTAAGGCTCTTCGGGGCGGGGGGGGGAAATCTTTGTCTTTATGCAGTACGCAGTCCCTGGATGTCTGTGTTTGACCTGTTTGCTGCTTCAGTGACTAAAATGCGGGGTAACGATGGTGGATCGTGACAAAGATGTAAACGTTTGACTTGTAAATCCAAACGCAGCGTGGCCTGTATAGAGAGAGAGAGGTTGAACACCAGCAGAGGACGTGATTATTGTCTGCATTTTAAAAGTGACCCAATTGTGCCACTTACGATTTGACCGTCGCAACTTAATTGGATCGTAGATGTAAATGAGCCTGGATTGTGTGTGTGTGTGTGATTTGGCCGGGTGACCACGTGTGCATAGAACAGGGTTGTTAGAGGCTGTTGGTGTTACAGGCTGCTGGTGTTAGAGGCTGTTAGTGTTACAGACTGCTGTTGGTGTTACAGACTGCTGTTGCACAGCTACGTGTGTGGTCAGCAGAGAGGGCAGTTGTGAAAAACCC